GGAGTGTGGGGTGGGGGGTGGGAGGGACCCATCTCCTTAGCACCCTTTAGGTTTAACGAAGTATTTTTTTCGGATTACAAAGCCTTTATGTTTACAGATTCTGTCCTGTTTACCAGGTACTTTAGAATTACAAACTATTTTCCAGTTTAAGAATTTTTGGATTTTCGGAGTATTTCTTAGTTTATAAGGCGTTATGCGGTTACAAAATCTTTTCCAATTTCAAGGCCTTTCAGGGTTTACAAAATATCATATCTCAACAATTGTAAGATGCACTTTTTTCATATTCTGTTATCACTAGTGCATCTTACAAATAGTGATGTTCAGTTTCTAGTGCATTTTAGGGTTCCAAAGCAGGTTGCAGTTTACAAGGGTCTTAAGGTGTGAATGCTTCAGCCCTCTGATGCACACTTTTCTTTCCTCTCATTTTGACATCTCTGAGGTCTGAATTATTTTTTTTTGAGGTCTGAATTATATAAAAAATGTCCCCCTTTTTAGATAATAAATTTGTGTTTTTTAAAAATATTTTTATTGATTTTTTTAAGAGAGAGAAGGGGAAGAGAGAGAGAGAGAGAGAGAGGGAGAGAGAGAAACATCAATCAGCTGCCTCTGCATGCACCCCTGACCAGGATGGAGCCCCCAAACTGGGCGTGTGCCCTGACCGGGAATTGAACCTGGGATATTTCAGTCAACTGAGCACATTGGCCAGGGCCTGATTTATTTATTTATTTTACCCATCAGTTGCATCTTTGAACACATTATTATTTCATTTTTCATGTTCCCCTTCCACCACCATGGCTCATGAAATGGTGATGCATCTAACAGCTGCTTTGAGTCAATGAGATTTGGTCTTCTACAGTTCCTAAAGCATTTCAGTTGTTACAAAACACGTTCCAGCCTGGCCAGTGTGGCTCCGTTGGTTTGAGCATCATCCCATGCACCAAAGGGTCGCTGGTTCGATTCCTGGTCAGGGCACATACCTGGGTTTCAGGTGCAATCCCAGGTTGGGGTGCATGCAGGAGGCAATGGATCGATGTTTCTCTCGCTCTCTCTCTCCCTTCCTCTTTCTCTAAAATCAACAAAAACATATAAAAAAGAACATGCTCCAATTTACAAGCAGTTCTAAGATTTGTGAAATATTTTCCAGCATCTAAGGGCCTTGGGCTTTACAAGTTATTTCTCAGTTGGTAGGTGCTTGGAGGAGTTAAAAGCCGTAGAGCTTACCAACTGCTCTTAGCCGTTCAGAAGAATCCTCAGAACCGCCCTCAGTGTGCATATACTCCATGTCTGTTTGTACAGGGCAGACTCAAGTGGAAGGTGGTTGTGTGGCCAGAAATGTGCATTTAAGCCTGCTGTGCAGGTCAGCGGTCGCCAACCTTTCGGACCTTACGGATCACCAGTGGTCTGCGGGCCACCGGTTGGCGACCACTGGTCCAGGTGACATGTGCTCAGTGAGCCCAGCATTACCCATGCAAGGTCTGGCAGGCAGGGGTCCGGAGGGTCTCTGTGCTGTGAGCTAAGATTTTCTCATTCTAAGACGCAGATGGTTTTTGGATTTGGTGATTCTGATTTTCAGATCTGTGTCTCTGAGATTCATTTCTGAGGGCTGCCCTACCAAATGACCACGAACTGGGTGTCTTAAAGCGACAGAGATTTCTTCTCTCTCAGCTCTGGAGACCAGAAGTCTGAAATCAGGGTGTTGGCAGGGCTGGTTCCTTTTGAGGCTCTGAGGGAGGATCTGTCCCATGCCCCTCTCCCCGCTTCTCACGGTCGCCAGCAGTCCTTGCTAGTCCCTGGCTTGTTGACACATCATTTTGATCGCTGCCCCCATCTTCTCACATGTTTTTCTTGTGTTTCTGTGTCCAAGTTGTTCTCTTCTTTTTATTTTTATTTTTGGTTAATCCTTACCCGAGGATACTTTTCCCACTGATTTTGAGAGAGAGGAAGGGAGGGAAGGGGAGAGAGAGAGATACAGAGAGAGAGATTGCCTTCTGCACGCACCCCAACAGGGGCTGGGGATTGAACCTGCAACCCAGATATGTGCCCTTGACTGGGAATCGAACCTGCGACCCTTCCGTGCACAGGCCAATGCTCTAACCACTAAGCATGCCAACCAGGCTATGATCTTCTTTTAAGGACACAAGTTGCTGGATTTGGTGACTCCTAGGTAACCCCAGATGAGCTCATCTCAAGACCCTTCACTTAATCACATCTGCAAAGATGCTTTTTCCAAATACATTCTCATTCATAGGTTCCAGGAGTCAGGGCGTGGACATATCATTCTGGGGCCACTATTCAACCCGCTGGGAAGTGTGGCTCCAGAACCATAATTAGTTCTGGAACCCTGAGGCCAACTCTAAATCTTGGATCTAGTGATTCTCACCCTTGAGTGCACCAGAGCCACGGGAGGCTTGGAA